GCGTCTCCTGCTCTCTCCTGCTCTGAGGTGAAACAATAAGACTGGGGTTTAAAAAAATGAACTCAATCTTGATATACTCCTTCCTGTGACTGTTTTCAAATCTTTCAGCAAAACTAGAGCGCAGAGGGAGTAGTCGCCAAACTTTGAGGATAACTCCAGTTACTTTCAACCTGGACCTCATTGTCCTACTTTTCTGACATCATTGCAGGTTTATAGGGTCTAGAAAAACTGTCACGTTCTCCATTTTGTGTATCTCCGGTTGATGTTAAGCACAGCAATTTCATCTTGTTTTTTGTCTCCTTTTATTCACTTTATTTTTATTTGGATCATTAGTGAATAATGGATGCCCATTAATTTTCGACTTCCATGTGTATTTCCCTTATTCATTATGAAGACATTTTCTACGTGATGGCTTGGAAACAGCTTAGCATGTAATTCTACTTTTTTATCATTAGTGCGTATTTAAATCACTTTTTCAAAAAGCTGAATGACCCATCAGACACATATTTTGGCTTTAAAAAAGACAAATTGAAAGAAAAAAACGAGCGGCTTTTACTATAATTCCACACGGATTCCTTCTTTGTACATCCAATCACAAACGCACAGAAAGAAAAAACTAAGACACACATTTGCGTGTCCTTGGAAAGTTTTGTTGACTTGTGTTGTCTTTGGCAGTACTGAATCCTGTAAAGGGTCGTGTTTCTGAATCAATAGGATACAGGAACAAACTCCTGTGTAATCGTGGTCTAATTTTAGTTTCTCTTCACACAGTGGTGAGGAAGAAAACACAGCTGGACTGCTGTTTTTGTTCTTCTGTGGGAACCATCTGACATGTTTACAATGTTTTTACCAAAGAAAGCTGTAATGTAAGATTTATATGCTACAGAAACTTACAGAAAATATCTTTGTTATATACTGTATATATTTTGTAAAGGCAGAGGACCCAACTGTATTTCAGTGCAGGAGAAGCACTCCTGCTTTTTTTCTCATGAATATACATTATGTACCTTATTGTAGATGCAATATACACAGAGGCAGTATTTTCAAGTCTTAATGTGTTTCACTTCTAAAGAAAAAGTTGTGAATTGAGGCTATTTACCTTCACAGGGACCAATAAATGCACACAGATTTGATTTTGTTTTAACCAGATATGAGGCAACAGTGACTTTGTTATGATTAAATCCTGATCTGCAGTGCTAATACACCGGGGCCGAGCTTAAACACATACACACATTCAGAATTATTACATGACTTTTATGTGCTCCTGGGACTAAGCAGCATAATGCACATTGTAATGTGCACTCTTGCTGAGATTTATTCATTGGCTTGGAATTTTAGCACATTAATCACTGTTTATTTAAGTGACAGCTATTAATTGAAACTGAACAATACGCCCATCAGGTTCTTGTCATGCAAAGCAATAAATCTAATGACCATATTTATGTGGGCACGGATCATACTTCTCTGTAAAACCACACTGGATTAACCTGAACTAACCCTCCGTCACGCGTGGTGTGTGTGTGTGTCTTCAATAAGGAGTTAGGATGTGTGTTTTTATGCACTGGACAAGACAACTGACTGCAAATTAAACCTAGGAATGTAAAAGTACATTGCGATTCATTGTTCAGCATCCCTGACAAAAAGGTTGAAGCCAGCACTGACATTTCACACCCCTTTTTAGGATAATGAGTACAAACACTCGAACGACAAAGAGATTTGATATGACTTGATCACACTTTCCCTGCCTTAAGAAGATAAAGCTTTTCCTGCAGAAGAAATATGGGCTCAATCTGCACTGACTTGACTATCAAAGATAGCAAAAGCCATTTTTTCTGTAGAGGATTACATGTAAACATTTGCTATCCTTGAAGCCATTTTGTTAACTAAAATGTATTTTACCATCATAATTCTGTGGTTGTTTTAGTTAATGTTGTGGCAGAGCTGCACCGTGTTTTAATTCACATGTTTACTTTAGTTTGGCTGTTTAAGCTTCATTAATAATGAAAAGAAATGCAGGGGGATAGAGGCAGCATTAATCTTATACTGAAGGACACATTGAGATGCAAGAAGCCCCTTTACAGCCCCGGGATCTAACAATCAATACTGACTATGTGACAATGGAGTGAGTGAGAGTGACATCACTGCTGCCAAGGAACATGACTTCCTTTCTTTACTTCATTTACTTCACAAGTTAGGTAAAGTCACTGACAGCCACGTATCCCCATTAAATTCAGTGACCTGATCTGACAACACTGAGCCCATTTGAAACTGCTGCCTGCTGCTCACGCACAAGTTGAAAGACTGCCAAATCTACAAGAAGTCAGAATCCCAAAAAAGAACGTTTTATCAACGAATGAAGCAGTTGTACAGTAAAGGCAGCACCCAGTGGGCTGTATGCTAGGGATATACCAAACT